AGTAAGTTAATAATTATACTATACGACACGTACGTACTTACGGTACGGTAAACGTAAACCTAACCTAACCTACCTACTACTTACTACTACGTACGTACCTCCCTCCCTCCTCCTCTCTCTCTCTCTCTCTCTCTCTCTCTCTCTCTCTCTCACACACACACACACACACACACATTATGGGGATCATGAATAGCTTGATAAATGACATTTTTTAGGAGCATGCTCAAGAGGCCTCAAGACTTGCTCACTACACCAAGAAGCTCGTCAAGAACAAGCGCCATTAAAACATAGAACTAGAAGACCAAAGAATCATGGCATGAGAGAGCCTCTCTAATGGTGGCACACATGTACCCTGTCAAAACTCCTTCCCCACTCATTCCCAATATCCAGCCTTGCACCCATTCCCATTTTGAAATCTCCATCTCTGTACAACCCCAAATCAAGCCTCCATCTCTCCAAAAACCCACCTCAACTCTTAGGGATGAGAATGGGTCAAATCGGATCAGGATATGCTTGGATAAAGATCCAGATCTGAATAGTATGGGATGATCCGAATCCGGATCCACTGAGATCCAAAATGTTCAAACCCAATCCGGATCCAAAACTATACATGGGATCCGGATCGGATCAGATCCACTTGGTTTCATCTTTCACAGCAACAGTTGATGAGTCACAATAGGGGGAAAAAAAAAATTGAGAGAGAGATCTCAAATTTGGTGGATTTTACAGGTTCTTAAGAGGTCCCTCTATTAAGCCATCACAATGCGCAGATTTGAGCAACAAAACCAAAGATAATTTATTCTATAGGGGATTTGAAGAGCTGCAACAAGTGTCAAAAATCAGAAAAAATAACTAAGATGAGAGAGAAATCTAGTTTTGATAAAAAAAAAAATTATGCTCACAAGGACCCTAAAAACATTGATAACAATAAAGAAAATTAGAGAACGGAGTAGGCATACCAGTTTGGAGCAACTGTAATTCAATGGCGAGAATTTGGTCACTCACCTTTTCCTTCAGACTGTGTTTCAAGGCATAACTGTTTGGGACTTTGCTGTCAACACAGCTCCCCTCTCTGTCAAAAAGATAACGGCAACCTCAAAAAGATAACGGCAACCTCCGATACCCCACCTCTCTCTCTCTTTCTCTGTGTGTGTGTGTGTGTGTGTGTGTGTGTGTGCGCGCATGATAAAGAGAGGTCCTCTGGCTCCTAGTCTCCAACAAGAACAGGGGGAAAGAGAGAGGAGATAAGAGAGGGACACTTGCCTCTATGTAACACCTTCCCCTTCATCTTCCTCTTCTACAAACCCAAACCATATATCATCTCATTGCTCTTGCAAATCCAAGGAGAAGAAGAGGGGAAACTAAAGCTACAAGGAGAGAGAGAAAGAGGCTTTCTTTTTGCTTCTTTGAAACACCAATTGCCCCACCATGCTCCATACCACTATTTACAGGCAAAACCATCACAATACTCCCCGTTCCATGATCAAGAAACGCAAGGTCTACTCTTGGAAAACCGACATTGCCAACTCCCTAAAATGTTCGTGGATATGGAGGCTGAGCAGCCATTAAACCACCTTTGAAACCTAGCCTAACCATTTGGTGCACCAAAATTTGGATCAAAAGCTTGAGTCACCATCAAATTTGGTGGCGTAGGTGGCAGAGAGAGGTTTTGGCCAAACCCCATTCCACCGCCAATAACATTGGCAATAGAGGCTAGGCGCAGAGCAATGGCATGGGTTTACAAAGAAACCCTAATCTAATTCGTGAGTTTCGTGTTTAGGGAGAGAAAGAGGCAAGGATCCAATCCCCACCGTTCATCTTCCATAAACGTATGGTGGGGATTATATCTTCTAAAAGTTAAATTATATCTTCAGTTTGTACCAGATCCGAATAGGATCCAAAATTCAGGTTTCGGATCCGGACTAGGTAAATTCACAGCCCTATCAACTCTGCTACCTCCAAACTCCCAATTCAAATCCTCCATCTATCCAAGTACCCATCTCAAGATCCCCACCCTACCTATAAAAACCTTCATATCTTCATTTCTCATGGGTTTTAAGAGAGATAAAGACAGAGATAGGGAGGGGTTTTTTTGTTTTTAGAGAGAGAGAGAGAGGCTCTCATGGTTTAGAACGAGAGAGAGGGCAGACTCTTACGGTTTAGAGAGAGGGGCTTAGGTGCGTTCTCAGAGAGAGGGGCTAAGTTACCTTTTATGATTTCAGGCATTTGGGCCATCTACAAGCCATTGAATTCAAACCCGACTCGGCCTGGAAATAGACCAGGGCCCAAGGCCCGAATTCTAGAACCAACCCGAAAGCCTGTGGCATGGCCCAAACCATTGGCCACCCTAAACTCAGGATGTGCCTGCTACTTTTGTTATATAATTTTTTTTATAGTTTTGACACGCGACATATTCTAATGCAATAAGAACATGGTTTAGAAATAGTGAAACATTGGATTCCAATCCCATGCTCTGAATCCCATTAAAAACACTTCATTACTTTTTGAAGTTCTCCCACAAAATTTGAAAAGTCCAAGTTCTTCAAAGTTGACGGTTTACGTCAATTGCTAACTCGATTTTCATGGTGACTGAGACAACTGCCAGAGTTTGAGTTCCTAAACAATGATATACATCCCAATAGCACGAAAGCTGAACAGTTTGAATTTCTAACATAAACATAGGGATCATAGTTTGTCTCAATTAACAATAAGGTTCAGAGTTATGTCCACCCTGTTGATAAGGTACACTAAATTTGCTGAAAGATTAGGACCCAAGTATCACTTTCTAAATTACAATGAATGTCTACTATAAAAACAATGTCCTCTTAAAAAGCCAATGATATTGAATGGGAGGGTATGCTTACATGCTTTGGAATGGTTATAGAAGATACCTGAGCGTAGGTCTTCAGAGACCTTTGTGCGACAGAAGAAGTGTACTTCGGGAAAGGCAGAACCTATTAACCGAGATCAGCCAAATTTCATAAGAACGTATATATGAATAATTACAAAAGGAAGCATCTAACTAATTCAATTAAATATAATATTAAAAACTAAAAATGCTAAGACAATTACAAATTCAATCCAAGTTTTTCCTTGTCCATTACAATTCAGTCCATGCTTTACAAATCAAGTGAACTAATTTGTAACAATGATTTGCGTAGAACTTGGTATATCCATGATTTAACTAGACAGCCTGTTAACAATGAAAGGATTTATTATTCGGCTTCGATTATGCATTAATGTGTAAAAACATGAGAGCTTTGAGGAGTTGCAGTGGATGTTCATGGAAATGTTGGGTGAAGATGGGGGTGTCAAGCTCTATGCTACAAGGGTTATAGTGATAGGCCCCATAGCCTTGGGGTACATCAATTTAGAGAGGGAGAGCTCAATAAGAAGCTATGGAGTTCCTTAATTTACAGAAGTTTTTAAGACCTGGTTTATGTTGTAAAAGACTGTTTTTTTTCTCTCTAAATGACTCTTGCTCCATTTTAGGGGTCTTGTGCAAAACATGTAAATATGGGAAGAAAGATAGCAAGAAGCCATTCTTGATTAAAATGAAGCGGAAGAAAGTTGTCCCTAATCCCACTTGTTTCCTTTGCAAAGACTTGTATTTGGGCTTCTTCTTGCTGGAGGGGATGTGTTTCCCATCTTTGTAAAAACACTATTTCTAGTTTATCTGACATTGGGAAATTAGAAGACACTACATCCTAAACGATGAACACCTGGTAATAAGGCCTCTCATGGAAATTATCCCCATCCATTTCCTCCACTTTGGAAACTCTTTTCTTCATCTATACCTCTTCATAATTCAAGAATTCAAGTTCTTTTGACCATACACATGCATATCCAGTGCCCATAAATTATTCTCTACCTTACATATTTCAAAATCAAATTACAGTATAAATAACAAATTTCCTGCCCTTCAAAAGATTTTTCACCTTTTACTATTCAATTATATGGTACATGTGAGATCTCAAAGACCTAGGGCTGTATGTAATACGGAATATCTTGAGAAGTTACATATCTACTTAATCAGGACCGTTAACACATACATGCATCACATGTTTCATGCAGGTCACTTCTACATACAATACCTTTCCAAATGTAGTTGTATAAAGGAATAAGGGGCATAGGATAACTTCTGAGGGAATGTGATGAAAAAAAAAATAGAAAGGAAGTGACAACATGTGATAACTATCAATTGAAGAAACCAGAAGCAAATTGTTAGCACAATGGACCATATAAGTTTCTGGTATTAAATGTGATAGAGAGAGAGAGAGACCTCATAAGTGTGTGAGTGTTCATTCCATGAAACTCAATAAGAAGAGATTGATCAGTTCGGAGAACTTGAGAGAACAAGGGATAGTTGACGTTTCGTGGTTTACTGCTCAAATGTTTGAAACATGATGTACCTGTTAGAATGCCTAGTGTACTTCAACTATCAAGTACATCTCTCTCAAAGATTGCCGAAGCATTCTCCTCCTCCACTACATCTTAGACCAATATGCTCGTCTAGATGTCTGGCCTCATCCTCTAATAGCTCCAAATAAAGCTATTCATTTGGAATGTTGGATGATTAGGTGAACCCTCAAGAAGAGGGTGGTACCTTCTTTCTCGCACCAAACCTCACATGAGGTCTTGGCAATTGAAACTAAATCTCCCTCCCTGCGCTCTCTGATATTCGCAGAGGTTGGGGGCAGGTGCCCTATCAGTGAACCTCTCTTAAGACTTAGGCTCTGTTTGACAAAATTGAACCTAAATATTCAAATCTATGGAAATCTGAATAAAGCCTATGCCAAATATGAATTATATATTTTATTGATATGTGCTTTTCTGTGCATGTTTGATTATATTTTATAAAGAGAAATAGGGCGCAAGCAATATGCATCACATGACTCCATGTCTTTCTCTCTCTACTTTCTCTTTGCAACCCTAACCAGCAACCCCTCTCTATATACCACTAAGTAACAAACCTTTTCTCTCTCTAATGGTAACCAGTAACTAGGGTTTGCCCTTTACTCTCAACTCCTAGACATTGACTCCTCTCTTTCTCTCTCTTAAAAGGTGCCATTGAGAGGCTCCACTGGCTCCATTTCTCTCACCCGACTAATCCAAAAACCTAAAGTTTCCTATTCAATTCTCTTCAAACCGCATTTGGTGGTGGCGGGCGCAATCCTCTCTCCAAAAGGAGCCATCGACAATCTCTCTAGCCCTACTCAGAAGACTAGGGTTCATGCCACCTCTCTGTCTCACCCTTCGTAGTGATTTTGTAGGATAATTTCAAGATTTAAATTATATTTTTGATTGAACTATTTACCATGAAAACAAAAATGAATTGGGCGTGCATATCTTTTTGTACTTATGCTTGACATGACCTGACCGTCAACAAGGACATCCCTTGTTAACATCTGATGCTTGGCATGATAACAACCAATTATGGCAAACTTAACCATTAATCCAAAGAAAAAGGACTGAATTGGGTCTAGGTAGCCTCTACTTGGTGCCAGGTAATTTGGAGGGGCAGAAAAAAAATAGAGTTGCTCGACCAATGACTATCCTTTTTTGTAGCACAAATTTTAGATATTCTGATTTAATAAGGTTATGGAATTTGAGGTTTGATGTTGGTTAGAAATTCAAGGTTCCTTTTTATTTTCCATTTATTTATATTCTGAAGACCACTGGTTTTCCAAGAACACTCGCTTTAATTTCCAGTAAATTCATGTTTTTTGGGTGGGTAAAATTAGGGGTAGTTAAGTTGCAAGAAATTGAGGATTTTTTGCGAGAGAATTCGCTTCAAAAATGTTTGCAATCAGGGGTCCATAACCCCAGAAAAAGAAACAATGGAGCGTTTCCACTACATACTAAGATTTGCCATGTTTCAATCCATGGAGTTTGTAAAGTAAGCATTTTTGACAAATTGAGGTTTTCCACAGTTTTTTACCAGGATTTTGTAGATTGTAGAGGAGGGATTTCACAGGGTGCGAAGAGAGAAAGATTTGAAGACTAGAGAGAGTCATATAGAGCAGAGAGAGAGTTTCCTCTGAGAGAGAGAGGGCCATTATCGAGATAGAGCGAGAGAGGGTTGGGGTCACCGCTGATAGAGAGGGGGCCTCTACCAGATACTAGAGAGGGAGAGAGATGAAAGAGGGAGATAATGGCGAGAGACAAAATTTTGACAGAGAAACCCGCAAAATCCAAATAAGAATTGAATTCTTGAGGATTCAGATATTTGTGAGTTCTTTTTTTTTTTTGAGTGAATTTAACTTTTGAATTGTTGTAAGAGTATCATGAGACAGAAAAGGGGCCCGAGAGCACCCACAGGCCGGTCTCTCGATCAAAAAATAGGTCAGTATACAAAGACCCTATACAAAAAAGTGGGGCTTATAGACTCGCCCTATTACAAGCAATGTACTGAAGTAAAACAAAACGTGAATTGCCCCTGGTGGTCCAGAGCAAAAAAGGAGATGGACCGGCGACTGCTATTGAACAACAGCAACCCAAAAAATCTCGATTAGGCGAGGGCATCTGCTAGGGCCCTAGCTCCATCCTTCACCAGAAGATCAGCAAACTCATTGGACGTCCTCCAGATATGCTTCCAGTAGACGACCATATCCCTGCACATGTAAGCAATCTCGTCAAACATTGAGGATAGGTACCACAGGGGTGGTGAGAACCCAGCTTCCCAAGAAATGATATTTTGGGCATCCCCCTCCACAAACAGGTGTGATCCCCAAGAAAGGTTGAAGCTTTTTAGGCCCAATAGCAGAGCCATGGCTTCGACGAACTGAGAGTATTCATGGCCTAGGTGAGCAGGACGTTGCCTTGATGGTAACGATAAACTCCACCAGCTCCAGCTGGGCCAGGGTTCCCCAAAGAGCAACCGTCGAAGTTTAGCTAGATCGAGCCAACTGGAGGAGGCAACCAGTTGTTATGTCTTAGAACCCTATGAGGTTGGAGGTTGAGGATGTTTTCCCATTGGCTGAGAAAAGTGTTTGCTGCTATCCCAAAGAAGGCCACGTGGTTAGAGGCCCAAAAAATTAGTATGGAAGTAACTTTGTGAAAGAGTGTTGGAACTTCATTTTTGCTGCAGTGAAAAATCATGGAGTACCTTTCCAACCAAATAACCAAGATAGTGGCTGCAATAGCAGCCTTCCACAAGGTTCTCCCAGCTTTCGGCCAATGAGAGACTAGAGACGAGGAGATCAGAATTGGGACCGAAGGTGAGGTGACCCATTGGAGGCCGAACAGCTGAATTAAGAGACTCCACAGGTCGTTTGCTAGGCTACAGTGGATGAAATGACGTGGGTTTGATTCCTCCTTGCACAGACACAGTGCGCACCTGTTGGGGATTGGGATCCCTTTGTTTTGAAGCTGGTCAACTGTGAAAGCCCTTTGGAAGCAGGCAATCCAGTTGAGAGCCTGAACTTTAGGTGGGGCGATGGTGGACCAGACCTTTGAAAGGACCAAGGTAGGGTTGAGTGGAAAAGTGGGAGGTTGGATAAGTTTTTTGTAAAAGGAAGCCACCGAAAAGGTTCCTGAGGGGGAAAGGGTCCAAATAAGAGAATCCCTCCCAGAGAAAACAATGAAGTTGGAGTGGAGAGAAGCCGAGAGAGAAATGAAGTGGCATGTTTCTTCCTCTGTGAGATTTCTTCTGAAGGAGGGGTTCCAGACTCTGCGATCCCCGAAAGAACCATTTCCTCAGCTATGGTGGAAGCATTGTTGGAGGCAAGAGAGTAAAGGGGAAGGGGAAGAGGTCCCTTAGAGGAGTGTGGCCTAGCTAGAGATCTGACCAGAAGCTAACTCTAGTGCCTGCTCTAGAATGGAGGCGAATATATATTTTGAACAAGGAGAGGGAAGAAGCAAAGGACTTCTACGCTCCTGAGGCCCTATTCGAAGTTCTCCCCTCGGGCACCCAAACATCTTCCGGGATCCTATATTTGTTGCGGAGAACCTG